TGTGATATCACTATCATAACAGCACACTCGATTTGATAATGGTTTCGATCGGTTAGGATTAGACGATCACACATTTATCACAACGATTACGGGCGAAATCCACTAAACGATTTGGTGTGATATGGGTGTGATAATCATGTGATATCACTATTATAACATCACTTGCGCACTAAATTTGATCATAGTTTCRAWMRKTTAGGGTTAGACAATCACACATTTATCACAACGATTACTTATGGTTTCGATAGGTTATGGTTACACTTCATTGATTATGGTTTTGATAGATTATGGTTACACAATCACACAATTATCACAAGGGGAGAGGAGAGAGTGGAAAAGAACGTGCAGGAAAAAAAGGGATAATTATGACTAATTAAAATAAAATAAAATTTATAAAATTAATTAATTACATTACTGCCCTTATTAATTTATTTATATTTAATATAAGTTAATTTATTAATTAAAAAAGTTTGAGGTTATTAGATTGTTCTCGCATTCTCGTAAATCACAGGGGTTCTCGTTTGAACCTCCAATATATATATATATATATATATATATATAAAGAAATTCAACTGTATAATACTTAATGTTATATAAAAGTATATAAATTGTATAATGTTTTATATTATATATATCGAGATATAATATTACATATTACTTGTAGATGTATAAAGATTTTTTATATAGAATATATCTGGGAGGGGATGGTGAAGGGAAAAGCAAAAACGTGCTAAAAATTGTCTTTTGCTACATTTGTTCTTTTGATGAGACAAATAAAAATTGATAATTACCACTTCAAGTTACAATAATTAATATAATTTATTTTAATACACATATTAATTTAAACGTTTCTCTTTTTTTAAAAGAGTTTGATCGTTGTGCCTTCTAGAACTTATGGTAAAACTACTTTGACCAGCATTGCACGATAATAGGATCCAAACGAACCATCCAATAACATAGCAGGTTTAGGGGCCTTTTCCCAAATGCTTACATGGGTAAGCGCTTACCAAGTCACATTATCTTACTGGATGAATATGACAAAGACCAAGAATCTTATCCGGTAAGAGTGAAGGCAATGACCGAGAGTCTTATCCAATAAGTGATAACAACTCTTACCACGTTTAGCACCTTACCGGGTAAATTGTTACATACAAAGTCATTTTGGTGGACTAAATCTTATCCGATAAGTAAACAATAGTGTTGAATTTTACCGGTAAGTGCTTAGCGGGTAAGTGTTTAAGTAAATGGCCCCTTACACTGATCCACTAGATTATGAACTTGATAAATAAATTAGAACTTATTTGATAAAGGTAAATTCCATATAAGAGGAGTTGAAGTGATTGTTCAAGATCAATTGGATAGTACGCATACATGTTTTTCCCATACAAGATGGGTGATGGTCGGTCTAAGATAGATATAAAGAATAAGACTAACTTCTCGTACTTCTTGTGCTAAAATAAACAATCGAACGTACACCCTAGGAATGTGATCACTCACTTACCAATGAAAATAGAAAATTATGTAGGGTGCACTCGAGCAATTCAAGTTGCTCTTCGTGTGAAGGAAAAAAGTAACTTCATCTATGGAACTCTAAGGTAACACAACAACTTCCCTGATATAAAATATTGGTGGGATCGAAGCGATATCCATGCATGTTCAATAAGTATCGAGTACAATCCAATAAACCATGCATTCTACCATGACACGTATGAAAAGCATGAAAAATATGCTTAATGTTGATTGTTTCCCAAATTATCAAAAATACATTCCTTGTTGATACCCTTTGAAAGCATGTTTAATATTCAAATTCTCATAAAAACAACATTTAATACATTCATCATCGGTCCAAAATTATCAGATCAATGGTAATAAACATTAAAAAAAATCAAAGGAATAAGAAACCCCCTAACATGGAGACGACGAGATAGAGAGAAGCATGAAACTTGTAGCAATGAGAAGAGAATTAATCCAGGTACATTGATGAGATGCAAATTTGGGAATTCAAACTATTGGAGTGAGAAACAAAAAGATAATGAAGAGAGGAGAAGCAATGAGGATGTGGAGTTATACGACGTTCTAAAGGAGAGAAACGTCCAAGAAAAGTTATGTATTTACAGAAAGAAATGAATAAGAACGAAAATGATTTAAAAGCAATCATAGCGAGATACATTATCAAGAATATATTTAGTTGTTTAACAAGACCATTAAGAAAAATAAACTCAAAAGTTCACGTTGAGCCATCTTAAGAACATCTAAAGTTTTGCGAACCCATCGAGTGTTGGTCAAGACCATTGAGAAAATAAATGCGGAAGTAAAGGTGGGACACATTAAACATACTTTGGATTTAGCAATACGGGTATTTTGAAAATTAATTGAACATTCAAATTTCTTCAAAGAGCATAACATGGATCAAACTTTTGATATTTGGGGTAACATTAAGCAACGTTTTTCAAAATTCCCGACCATTTGTCCTACAAGTGAGAGATGATATTTCTGATTGGAGGCAAAAAAAGATAAACAACTGTTGTATATTATGGTTGTTTGAAGATGATAACTAACAATACTGACGAATATGACCAAATACTAATTCGTAAATGATTTTTTGATGCAAGTGTAATCATACTTCTCGACTCAAGAATAAATGAGTGTGAACCCATAATTCAAGAAATTACCCTAAGGATAAGATAAAAGGTACGTGATAAAAGAACGATTTATAGACATTGCAGACGTATATTATAGAAGATTCATAGAATTATTTTTGGTTGATCAAGCATCATGACTATTACGACGAATAGAATTGCTTCTGATTAAGCATCATCAGTGGTGGGATGACTGAACTCGAGTCACGAAATCTTCCTCCACTATCTTTTACATTTTAACCACTAAAGATTTATAATTTTACATTTTAACCACTAAAGATTTATAATTTTACATTTTAACCACTAAAGATCTATTATTTTACATTTTAACTATAAAATTTAATAGAAATTCAAATTTGTATATACATTTGATATAAATGACAAAAATTTGAAATTCTACTAACCTTTATTTTTAGTTCGGTTGCTTATATAAATTTTGTTGCCCTTTTTGTATATTTTATACCTAAACATGAGTAAATTTAAAGTTCACAAAAAATCAATTTTATCAGAAATGTTAAATAAAAAATATTTTCAAACCTAAATTGTTCGTCCCACGAATTACTTGAAGACTCGTTATGACTTTATTAATTATAAAGTGATTCATTTTATTTTTTGATCTTCAATAAAGCAATGGAAAATCAATTAAAATACCCATTTTTCACGATGGGTTTCACATCTTAGTCATTTCTTTCCCAAAATAATGAAAATAGTCATAGGTCCATAATTGTCAAGTCTGTAACTTGCAGAGGCGTCAAAGTAAAAAAAAAATCTCCACAATTGTAGGGACCAAATATATAAATTAGTTATAGATCCGCACTCCGCAAAATCAATAATGTGTTTTTTCAAATTTACATATTTGGTTCCTACAATTGTGAATTTGGTTCATAAACTTCCTTTTTTTCTTCATTTTGACCCCCTCTATAAATTATGGATCTATTAATTATAGACCTATGGTTATTGTCGTTATTTTGTAAGAGATATGACTAAAGGGTGAAATTATACGTTAAAAAGAGTATTTTAATTAATTTGATATGCAATTCACGTAATTAATAAATAAATAAAGGCTAATTTTAAGAAAACAATTTTTTACTCAGAAGTAGAACGATCCACTTCTATTCACCAATTTGGATATTTAATTACACTTATACTCATAATTTTGGCCTATAAAATATAAAGCCCACTCACACTCACACACACCCATTTTGATTTTCCATTTCTACTGCCTTTCTTCCTTCCTACTTTTCCATTTCACAAACTGCCATGGCAACCATAACTCCCCTCTTGTTTCCCCTTCTTTTCCTCACCCTTTCAGGTACCCTTTTCACTTTCCTTTTCGTTTCTTTGATTCGATTCATTAATCCATATTCAAATCATCTACGATCTTCAGGAGTTGTAGATGATATACCACCATCTGTGCTTTAATTATGCATCAAAGTTGGCTAAAAAAAGGTTCAATCTTTTCTGGTTTTCTGGGTCTTTTGTCCTATCTTTACGGAGGATTCGCTTCGATTGTTGAGTCCTCGATGAATGATTGCAGATTATGCATTTTGAAGTTGGTTAATGAAGTTTTCTGTGGTAATTTATAGATAGTGATGATAGTGTTTTTGAAACCAAACCATGGTAAGGATCGATGATTTTGATTTGTTTGCATCGAAAATCTTTAGTCGAAAAGCTCATAACTTGATTGGTAAACCTAGATTTGTTATTGAATGAGTTGATAAATCAATCGCTTGCGATTGCATTGAAGTCTAAAGCTATAATCCTCTGGAAACCGCATTTTCAATTTTCCGATTGATTAATGAACTTTAATCGGTTATCTTTCGCGTAAAATTATTCGAATTTTGCAGGTGGTATGTTGACTCTTGCAAAAGGACAAGCATCTGGGCAGGTACAAGAACTCAAGAACTAGTCATGCATAATTAATCAACAAATTACAAAGGAGTTCTTGAAAATATTGCAAAAACCCAACTAGAAAACTACAAATTATTGCTTTCTGATGATCGATTCTTAACAAATCTACGATGACGATGATGATGATGATGTTGTTTTAGGGAGCTTGGTGTGTAGCGAAACCATCGGCTACAGATGAAGAACTTGAGCAAAACATCAATTTTGCTTGTGCTTTTGTGAACTGTAACGTGATACAACCAGGCGGGGCTTGTTATGATCCACAAACACTCTCAAGCCATGCTTCGGTTGCCATGAATCTTTACTACCAAAAACAAGGAAGAAATTATTGGAATTGCGATTTCAGGAAATCCGCGCTCATCAGTGTGATCGACCCAAGTAAGCCAAAATCTATAAGATCGAGCTCGTTTTGATGATTTGATAAAATTACTAATGATCGTTGTTGTTTTGCAGGCTACGATAATTGCAAGTATGAGTATGCGTAATAGTTTCGTGTTATGAATTGGAGAAGTTTTTATGTAGTTCAGGGTTGATTTACAGCAATTTTATGTGTTTGTGATTGTTGTAATTCATCAATGAATTTTACGAGGGTATAATTATCATCTCTCTCATCATTTTTGTGTTGAGTAACTACCATCATTCGAGAAATTCATGGTAAATTGATACCTTTTTTGTTAATAGTGGATGCCCAGGTCGGTCTCGACTAATCCCTTGGGACCTCCGTGGCCTTTCAGGGACTCGATCTGGTGACTGAGTCTTATTGCCACTGAACTAACACATCAAGGTTGAACTAATATTGTAGTCCCAGCTTGTGTTAAACTAGACCACATAAGTATAATATTTATCATGAATCAGCACCAGGGACGGATCCAGAATATTTTCAAACGGTGGCACCATTTGACTATAAGAAAAAACTATAGCGAAAAATCAAACAGTGGCACCGGTTGACTATAAGAAACAAATATACATAAATTTTTTCAATCGGTGGCACTATTTGGTTAAGAAAATGACACTAACAAGATTTGAATTTGGGTCTTGAGTAGAATAAAAGTCTTGCAAACCAACTCTATCAAATAAAACTTGTTCCAATTGTAGTTTCAAAATACATACGGTGGCACACAACAGATTAATACGGTTACACCTTTCACAAATCTAAATTTTTTTACCCTTCGACGAAGAAATAATACGATGGCACGTGCCACCGTAACCACCATGGTAGGTCCACCCATGATCAGCACTAGAGTCGTCTTAGTTTGTAGGTAGAGCTGGTTTGATGAGACCATGTAGGCGTAGCATCCTCATGAACTGAAATTGTGGATGAGACCGCTTGCACATAGCATCCATCTTGATCTTGAGGCTATGGTTGGTTGGATGAGACCAATTGATATCCGAGACGAGAGTCTGGGTTCATGGATCTCCTCTAATTTGGGCCAACGATCTTATAACTTAATTGATACTAACTAGTAGATCAGTACAAATATGCCAATCATTTATAATTCAATTGCACTAGTAGTGTCATTGATTGGCATTAAACAAAAAGATTTTACTTTACACTTTTTAAAAAAATGATACGGACCGATTTGATCATATCCGTTTATATTTTATACCTGTTTGGTTTAAAACATAGATGCGAATAGATCCGGATGTTACATGTAAAGCTGTCCATCAAGCACCATAAACTATTGTCATCGAACAACATGGACGTTCCAATTTTTTTTGGAGACTTTGTTATATCCAAAACTTTTGATTACATCAAATAAATGAGATAATAGAGAATATATGTCAAGAACAAAAATGGACTGAATCTAAAACGATTAATAATTTGAAACTAAACATAAACCATTAATGATTTGAACCTAAAACCAAAGAATTACTTGAACATAAATAATTCCAGCTATACTTTTGCAGGTCGATAAAAAGACCTTGAATATATGTAAATTTGGACCTCAAAATATTGGGGTTCTGTTTAAAATATTACATTTAACATGTCTAAGGGACCGCCTGTCGAACAACATCATGCAATTCAGAAATTTTTGTCGTAATTTTTTGTTGTGCAGTTTGCAATTTCATAACTACACCACACATATATATATATATATTATATTTATTAAAAAAAGAAACCAGCCCACTCACTATGGATAACACTCTAGTGTTGTGCTATGTTACAGAAAAACCAAATCGMGACCCGAGAGTGTTTTTTGGGAGCTAGGGTATTTGGTTGTGTGAGAGGCTAGAGATGGTCAAACACGGCTCAAGCCTAGCTCGAGAACGGCGAAGGACTGGATGGGACCCGTTACATTTACGGACCGACTTCTCAAGATTTTTTAATGTTTTTCAAGTGTATTTCAATAATTATAGAAACGTGTATAACATTTTTGTCTAAAAAAAGAATTTTAAAGAAATAAATTGGTTGGACTTGGTACCTTGACCAGGACCGGACTTTGGACTTAGAAACAATCCTCATTTTTGGGGTCAGCACCGGCCAGCCTGGTTACAAAGCGGCTTCCCTCAAATCGGAATTGGTTTTTTGCTTTCTCTACGAGCGACAGCATTCGGTATTTGAGTTTGAGAGACAACGTGGATAAAAAAAAATTTATTTTGTTATGGATTAGAACTTGTATATAGTTTGTTTTGGACTTTTATTTTAATTAATTAGGTTGTGTATTTGGATTAATTATGGAATTAATTTGTTTATGTTGGAACTTTTTATTATATGGACATGTCATTCTTGAATTATTTTGAACTTGTGAATTTATAATTATTGAAATTAGGGGTGTAAATGATGCGAGTCGAGCTCGAGTATCACTATACTCGACTCGAACTCGAAACCCAATTTCCAACCTCGAACTCGACTCGAAAACTCCCGAGTAGTAAAATTCAAAGCTCGACTCGAACTCGATAACAATTTCTCAAGCTCGAACTCAAACTCGAATCAAGCTCAAACAAAGCTCAAATCAAGCTCGAAGCAAGCTCACCCATTGAAAATCATGAAATTTTAGGTTTTTTCTCTTATAAATTTTAAAACTTTAAAGGTGTTCTTTTAGTTTTATAAAACTAAAGAATCAACTTCAAACTTCATCATAAAAAAGACAAAGTTAGAAATTTCATTCACCTCCCTATCTTTTTATAACATTTTTTCTCATTTCCTTTACCTATCTCTTCCATTGTGGGATAATTTCACTAACTTTTTTTATAGTTTTTCTTTGTCTTTTTTTTTATTGTAATTTTAATAAAAATTAATCGATTAAGTTTTATAATTAAAAAAAGCTTAATTTTGTTTAAATATCTAAAAATATAATACATTTTTAATATTTGTATCTTACAAAATTTTATCATAAAAACTGATTATATTTTAAAACTATTTATATATAAAATAATCGAGTATCTTCTCACAAGCTTTTCGAGTCGAATATTGGGTAGCTAGGCTCAACTCGTTAATATATCGAGTCGAGCTTTGACCGAGTCGATCTCGAGTAGCTCGCGAGTTGTCTCGTATCATTTACACCCCTAATTGAAATTGAAGTGCATTACGTATCAACAACATAGAATCTGCGGAGCATTTCCCAGTCCAGTTTTTTGCGATCTAAGGCCAAAAAAAGGCTGTCGTTCCGATTTAAGACAAAAAAGAAGCCATTCAGAAAGAACGTGGACCAGAATGATTATGCTTGACCTGACCGCTTGTTTTATCAATAAAATGAGGATAAATGTAGTGAAACAGTTTAAGAAGTTGCAATCACATATTCTCACCGGGCATATATACATGAATTTGGGATACTCGAAGCCATAATGTTGAAACACAATCACACCTTCATTGTGATGTCAAACATTTAATGAGGGGGCTTTGAAGCCTACTTTTAAGTAGAGTTTGCAAAGTTACAAGAAGAATCTCCGAGTTTTATCGACACAAATAACAAAACCAGCAAACAGTTCTATACCAATTTGTACCATCTAACAGTTAACACTAGGGATCATTAACAATACGAATGTTTATCAAGTTCCCAACAGGATCACCACTCACACTTATGCGGTTACATTCTGGGCCATTAACATAGGTTGTTGGAAATCGCCCCTTACCTGGTATAATAGTCTTCTCCCTCACCAGATCAAATTTTTGATCATTGATATGCCTCTTACCAATATCAGGTAAGATTCTCAATCGTTGTCATCTTAACCCGGTAAAACAAGTAACACCTAGTAGACACTTGCCCGTTAAACATTTAGTAAACAGCCTCTGAACCACCATAAAAATAATAAACCACCACTTTTGCCTACACCATAAAAAATTCTAATCCCACTTTCATTGACAGTTCATTTTTAAATATACCAATAGGCAATAATGCTTAGTGATATGTGTTGAGAATTTAACGCATAACACGCTCTTTTTAGGACTTTTTAGTTACTTTAATTTCTTTTCATTCCCAAATTGAGTCATTTTCATTTATTTCTTTATACCTTTGTTATTATGAAGCTAAATGTTGTGGTTAACTTGTTGGTATGCATAATTTAAGCTAATTTGGAGTTTTTGTGATAACAGCAGGTGCTGCAGCATTGGTACAGCATTGACCTGGGTCTTGCACTACTTTTTGAGGGCATAATAGACAAAGTGCTGACTTTTTGAAGATGGAAAACAGCTGTATTTGGGCTGTATTTTTGGAAGAAATCTGATTTTTACTCTCTAGTTAGCCTTTGTACTTCTTAGTTAAACTTTAACCAAGTATTGTACTTCTTAGTTGAACCTTAATTATGATGTAACTAGTTTGAAGTTGTCTTAGCCTCTAAGCTTTGGTATTTTGTCTTTTTGTACCCATTTTGGGTATAAATAGGAGGCTTAGGCTTCTTTGTAATATACACTTGAATTCACAAATCCATTGGATTCTCTCTAATCTCCTTCCATTTCCTCCCAACTTTTCTTTCTTTTCTCTTCAACCTTCTTCAAGTTCTTCAAGTTCTTCTTCATCTTTTTATTTATTTAATTTCTTGTCTTTTATTTTCCGCTATTTATTTTCTCGTCTTTACATTTCCGCCATTTATTTTACATTATTTACTTTTCCGTCATTTAATTTACGCTATTTACATTCTCGTCATTTACATTCCCGTCATTTACTTTATTGT